CACCGCCAGAGACAGCAGGGACAACACCAACACCTCCAGAGGCAGCACCAGCACCAGTAGCAGTTCCAAGTCCAGCACCACCAGCAGCTGCAGAAGTACCCGCAGTAGGACCGACAGTCGTAGCCTCAGCGCCAGCACCCACAGCAGCTCCAGCTCCAGAGGCACCCCTGGGCCCGGCAGCCCAAGTACCCTCAGTACGAGCACCTCCGGGACCCGTGGTACCAGCTCCCTCGGCAGCAACGGAACCTCCAGCACCCGCAGTACCCCCAGCTCCAGCAGCTCGCCTCCAGCGCCGGGCAAACCACTCACGCAGCTCCAGAGGAGAGAACGGCTCGCGGCGCGAGGAACGGTCTGGAGAACCACCAGGAACAGAAGCAGCAGGCGCAGCACTCCCAGACGCAGTACCTCCAGGCTCAGCACTCCCAGGCACAGCACCCCCAGGCTCAGCACCCCCAGGCTCAGCACCCCCAGTCTCAGCACCCCCAGGCTCAGTACCCCCAGGCTCAGCACCCCCAGGCTCAGCACCCCCAGTCTCAGCACCCCCAGGCTCAGCGCCCCCAGTCTCAGCACCCCCAGGCTCAGCACCCGCAGCAGCACCAGAGTCACCAGTGACCTCGACAGGCTTGACCGCGTCTACTTGAGACACACCTGAAGGGGCAGGACCCTGAGGGGGGAGGGGGTCTACCGGGGGGGGACCTGGGACCAGGAAGAGGGGCGGGGGGGGAAGGGACGGAGTGCGGTAGGGGAAGAGCCGGTAGAAGGGAACCGACTCGTCGAACGTGACGTCCTGGGAGGACAGAACACGACGAGAGGTGGGGTGGTAAAACTGCCACCCAGGTGCGTCAGGGGGGAAACCTAGGAAGACGCAAGGAGCAGCACGAGGGGACAGCTTGTCCGCAGACAATTCGCGGACAAACGCCCGAGATCCTCAGACACGGAACGCCGACGCATCGCCAACCTTCCCCGTCCACAGCAAAGCTGGGGAGGTCTCCGGTCTGGAGACCCTGGGCTGAAGGTTGATCTGATGCGCGGCGTACCGAACCGCAAACGGCCACAGAAAATGGGGGGCAGCCGCATGCACCATGGACGTACGGGCGACGTCCATGACAATGCCGATGCGGCGCTCAGCAATCCCATTCTGCTGTGTAGAGTCCGGAAGCGTGAAGGCCTGGCGTATGCCTCGTGCCCGACAGTAGGCTCGCAGAAGGCCGGAGGAGAACTCTCCGCCTCTGTCCGAGTGCAGCCGCAAAACAGGAAAGTCCGAGCCGAAGCTCCGCCTGAGCTGGAGACGAGCTGCGCGGATCCAGTCGATCAACACCCCAGTGACCTCACCCTTGCTGCGCAAGGGGAAGACTGTGGTGTAACGCGAGTAGTCGTCAACCACCAGCAGGAAGTAGCGCTCGTGACCCTGTCCACGGACGCGGGCTGGGCCCCACACGTCCATGTGAAGCGTCTGCATCGGGGCCTCTGTCGGAGGAAACGGGGAGGAGTGAGGGGTAGCCCGCAGGCGACCCTCGACACAGGGGACACAGGGAGGGCCAGGCCCCGGAGGAAGGGGAGGGAGGGACCGGGGAAGGCCAGAGACAAGAAGGCGAGAGGCCATGCCCCGGAGACGAGGCAGGGAGGGGTGACCCATCCTGTGGTGCCACAGGAGGGTCTCGTGGGACAGGAGGCGACACGAGCAGGGGGCAGACTCAGGACTAGACCTGGACGCTGCAGCAAACACCTGACCCGACGCAGCTACCTGACCAGACGCAGGAGGAGGAGACGAAACAGTGAGTGTGTACAGGCTCGACCCCGGCCCACGTGTGAACGTGGTCAAGTGTCGACCCGTGTCCACGTCCGTGCAGTGGGTGTCCCGTCGGTGTGCAGGGGTGAACTGGTCGACCCCTGCATCCTGTAGGTCAGCACCCGCCACCAAGTTCGTAGAGAACGAGGGGAGGTAGAGACCGGACAGGGCGCCAGACGGGACCGCAGGGCACGGCAGGACAGTGGAGTAGCGAGCCAGAACAGGACCCCCAGAGGGGTCCGCCAGGGAGACCGCCACTGGCCGACTAAGCGGCGTGAGTGTGGTGCGGTCTCGAAAGAAGGAGCGAGACGCCCCTGAGTCAAGAGTGAAGGTGAGAGAGGGCGGAGCCGACGCAGTACCAGAGAGAGCAGACTCACCAGCACCTGAGGACACAGACTCACTGGCACCTAGAGCGACAGCCTCACCAGCACCTGGAGCAGCAGCCTCAACAGCACCTAGAGCCGCAGTACCAATGCCCGGGTCGGGCGGGAAACACCGGTAACAGTCACCCTCCTCACTAATAGTCACAGCATACATGGCAGCAAGAATAGCATCAAAGTCAAGATCAAAGATAGCTACTCTTGCCCTAGACAGCTGGTCCCAGCGAGGGATCTCAGAGGCGTCACGAAACTGGCGGCGCCAAGCGTCAGTCAGGCAGCCGAAGCAGCGCTGGGCGGAGTGTGGACCACCACAAGGCTCACCCGCACGGTCGCCAGTGCGCAAGACGTAGGTACACGGACCAGTACCCCCACCCCTCTGACGTGCAGCGTACCACTCACGGAGCTGCTGCGGGGAGAGGGTCTCCTGACCACGCTGCTGCCGCTGCTGCTGGCGCTGACCGCCACCGGAGCCACTCCTCTGCGACGAGCCACGACCTCCTCCACCGCCTCCTCCGCCGCCGCCGCCACCACCTCCGCTGCCACCGCCACTCCCACCGTCGCTGCCGCCACCGCCGCCTCCGCCTCCACTCCCACCACCACCGCCGCTGCCACTCCCGCCTCCACTGCCGCCGGTGACACCTCCACTCCCGCCACCACTCCTGCTACCACCCCCACCTCCTCCGCTGCCTCCACCGCCGCCTCCACCGCCCCCGCCGCCGCCACCACCGCTCCTGCCCCCCTTGCCCTTGCCAGAGCGACGTCTCCCACTGGGGGCAGACGCCGCACCGACCGACTCAAAACCAACTAGGTCGGCCGTAGCAGCAGAGGCGACAGAGGGCAGGAGGGGGGAGGGGGAACACCCCTCAAAGATGGGGGTGCGCGGGTCACCACGAGAGGCCCCTACAGCGAGAATGCTCTTCTTGGCTGCTAGGAGGGACTTCTCGAGGAGGTCAACAGTGAGAGTGGTGGGGCAGACTGAGAATAAGTCGTCCCTGACTCCGCGAAGGGAGTCAGGGAGGCGGGCGACAATGTAGTAGAGAGTGAAGTACTGGGGGGGGGGGTTCTTGGCGCAGAACTCAGCAGGAAGCGCAGCGCGGAAGCGAGCGTCACTAGTGCGCAGGTGGGTAATGAGGTCGGCGACTGTGGCAAAAGAAGCAAGGTCGGGAAAGAGGTACGGTAGCATGAGGCGGCTCAGTGCAGCAGTGGCAGGGGTGGAGTAGCGTGCAATAACGGCGTCGTACAAGGTTTGAGCACTCTTGTACGACCCAAAGTGTGCACGCTCAGAGGGAGGGAGGTGGCGACGCACAGCAAGACGTGCAGCAGCATCACGTGTGGCCCACTGTGAGCGAACAGTGGCATCCTTAGTAGCAGCAGGGGCGGGAAAGGCACCAGAAGTGAGATCAAAGAGAGAGAGGCCGTCAGCTCTATCGCACTGTAGGAAAAGCAGCAGGTCGTCTACCCACACGTCAAAGTCGATGGCTCTGCCCTCAGCGTCGAAGGTGAGGACACTGGGGGTAGCCATGACAGCAGTAGGGTGAGGGCAGTGCGCAGAGTAAAGCTCAGTGCTCACCAGACAGGGCAGTGCAGACGGCTCGGGCGGCTCGGGCGGCTCGGGCGGCTCGGCGGCTCGGCTGCTGGGCGGCTCGGGCGGCTCGGCGGCTCGGGCGGCTCGGGCGGCTCGGGCGGCTCGGCTGCTGGGGCAGCTCGGCTGCTGGGGCGGCTCGGCTGCTGGGGCGGCTCGGTTGCTGGGGCGGCTCGGCTGCTGGGGCGGCTCGGCTGCTGGGGCGGCGCAGATGCTGGGGCGGCGGGGCCGGGAGATGCAGCTGCGGGGCCGTTAGGGGTAGTGGCGGGGCCGGTAGGTGAAGTGGCGGGGCCGTCAGGTACAGCAGCGGGGCCGGCAGGTGAGACGGCGGGGCCTGCAGATGAGGCGGCGGGGCCGGCAGGTGCAGCAGCGGGGCCGTCAGGGGTAGCGGCGGGGCCGGTAGGTGCAGTGGCGGGGCCGTCAGAGGGGACGGCGGGGCCGTTAGGTGCAGCGGCGGGGCCGTCAGAGGGGACGGCGGGGCCGTCAGGTGCAGCGGCGGGGCCGTCTGAAGCAGCGGCGGGGCCGGCAGAGGGGACAGCGGGGCCGTCGGGTGCAGCGGCGGGGCCGGCAGAGAGGACGGCGAGGCCGTCAAGTGCAGCGGCGGGGCCGGCAGAGGGGACGGCGGGGCCGTCAAGTGCAGTGGAGGGGCCGGTAGAGGGGACGGCGGGGCCGACGCAGGCGATCGCGGGGCCGTCAGAGACGGCGCCGGCGTCGCGAGGGTCAGAGGGGGTGGCGCGCGACTGGAAAGCGGCACGCGCGACGCGGCGCGGCCTTCTAGGGGCGGCGCGAGGAGGCCGCATAGGTGGCGCGCAAAAAAAATCGCGGGCGGCTCGACACGATCGGGCCGTCAAAGGAAAAAAAAGGCCCAGCGCGACTCGGGCTAGGGCAGAGCGCGCTCCGGGCAGGACGGAATAGTAGGTGGGCCCTAGGAACAGTTCCCACTAGGGAACCTGCTCGATACCATGTTGAGATAGAGGCGAGGAAATGAGTACACTATGAAATGAAACAAGTACAAGTACCAACCCTAATTGGGTTGTACCCCCTATGGGCTACCCCACTACAGCCTAAATATATGCATCAGTAATATTATCATCTGACAAAAGCAAAATCAGTGAAGTCAACACACACACGCCCAGGCAAAAACAGGGAAGTCAACACACACACGTCCTGCACAAAGTCAAAACAGGGAAGTCAACACACACACGCCGTACACAACGAAGCAAAACACACATTGCACAAAAATCAGTGCATGTTCCTACACTGTGTACAAGAAAGCAAAAATAGGATACCGCAACACACGTGCTCTCTCATGCACTCTCTCACGCTCCCTCACGCGCTCCCTCGCGCACTCTCAGGCACACTCTTACGCACTCCCTCTCTCGCTCTCTCTCGCGCACTCTCACCACATTCTCTCTCTCTCTCTCTCTCTCTCTCTCTCTCTCTCTCTCTCTCTCTCTCTCTCCCTCTCGCACTCTCACCACATTCTCTCTCTCGCAAACTATCACACGCATTCTCTCTCTCACGCTCTCACGCACACTCACATGCACTCCCTCACGCGCTCTCTCATGCTCACTCTCACGCGCACTTTCACGCACTCTCTCCTGTGCTCTCTCACGCGCTCTCTCACGCGCTCTTATGCGCCCTCTTGCACTCTCTCACGCACTCTCTCGCGCGCTCTCTCAAGGCACACTCTCAGGCACACTCTCACGCACTCTCTCTCTCTCGCACTCTCTCTCGTGCATTCTCACCACGTTCTCTCTCTCACGCGCACTCTCACGCGCTCTCTCACGCGCTCTCTCACGCGCTCTATCAAGGCGCACTCTTAGGGGCACTCTCAGGCGCTCTCTTTCGCGCTCTTTTTCCCGCACGCTCATGTGCATTCTCTCTCTTACGTCCTTCTCTCGTGCACTCTCACGCACATTCTCTCTCTCAAGCGCTCTCTCACATGCGTTCTCTCTCTTACGTCCTTTCTTTCGCGCACTCTCACGCACATTCTCCCTCTCAAACACTCTCTCAGGCGCACCCTCACACGCTCCCTGACACGCTCTCTCACGCGCTCTCACACGCGCTCTCTCACCCGCTCTCTCATGCGCACTCTCACGCGCTCTCTCACGCTCCCTCACGCGCTCCGTCGCGCACTCTCAGGCACACTCTCACGCACTCCCTCTCGCGCTCTCTCTCGCGCACTCTCACCACATTCTCTCTCTCGCGGACTATCACACGCATTCTCTCTCTCGCGCTCTCACACGCACTCACATGCGCTCCCTCACGCGCTCTCTCATGCTCACTCTCACGCGCACTTTCACGCACACTCTCATGTGCTCTCTCACGCGCTCTCATGCGCCCTCTCGTGCTCTCTCACGCACTCTCTCAAGCGCTCTCTCAAGGCGCACTCTCAGGCACACTCTCACGCTCTCTCTCTCTCTCTCTCTCTCTCTCTCTCTCTCTCTCTCTCTCTCTCTCTCTCTCTCTCTCTCTCTCTCTCTCGTTCTCTCTCTCGCATTCTCACCGCGTTCTCTCTCTCTCACGCGCTCTCTCACGCGCTCTCTCACGCGCTCTCTCACGCGCTCTCTCACGCGCTCTCACGCGCTCTCTCACGCGCTCTCTCACGCGCTCTCTCACGCACTCTCTCATGTGCTCTCTCACGCGCTCTCACGCACGCGCTCTCTTGCGCTCGCTCACGCGTTCTCTAACGCGCTCTCTCACGCGCTCTCTCACGCGCACCCTCACGCGCTCTGTCATGCGCTCCCTCACGCGCTCTCTCACGCGCTCTCTCACGCGCTCTCTTACGCGCTCTCTCACACGCTCTCATATGCGCACACGCTCTCCCTTGCGCTCCATCTCTTTCTTCTTCAAATGAAAGTGGAGATCAATCGACGCATTGGAGAGAAAAAAAAAAATCAAAACAAAACAAAACAAAACAGGACGGAAATTTCAGAAGGGGGAAGGGAGGACGGAAGGACCAGGAACGCACCTGATAACCACGGTGCCTGATAAAACAATCCGCGCTCGCGTACCAATCCGCGCTTGCGCTCGTGCACCTGTCGCCGGACGGCGGAGAGGGAAGGAGAGGCGACGGCGAGGAGTAGGGAGAGGCGACCGCGGGGAGGAGCGAGAGGCGACGGCGGGGAGGAGGGAGAGGCGACCGGGGGGAGGAGGGAAAGGCGACGGCGGGGAGGAAGAGAGGCGACGGCCGGGAAGGAGGAGATGCGACGGCGGGGAGGAGGAGAGGCGACGGCGGGGAGGAGGAGAGGCGACGGCGGGGAGGAGGGAGGCGACGGCGGGGAGGAGGGAGAGGCGACGGCGGAGGGAGATGCGCCGGTGGGGAGGAGGATAGGCGACGGCGGGGAGAAGGGAGGCGACGGCGAGGAGGAGGGAGGCGACGGCCGGGAGGTAAGGGAGAGGAGATGGCGGGGTGGATGGGACGGAGTGATTGTGAGGTGGGTTGGAGAGGTGTTAGCGGGTAGTGAGGGAGAGGATACGGCTGGATGGAGCGAGAGCGACGGCTAGGTGGGAGAAGAACTGGCGAGAAGGGGTGGGGGGGAGGGGAGGAAAAGGAGTAGGAGCAGAGCAGGTTCTTGTCGAGAAGATTCAAGAACAAGAACCAAGAAAAGACAGCGCCGCATTTAAGCTGTGAAAGAGATGGATGCCAGCGCAGAACGAGAAAATGTCTGCCAGAAGAGCGAGAAAATTTAGGGCGTGTTACATTTTTCATTTTTTTTGTCCTGACGTCCAGCCGTCCGGACGATTGTGTGATTACTGAACTCGTTAAATCTCGGCATTGAGTTCGTCAGGGTCTAAACGACGTCGCATTCTTCGTATTGCCTCCTTACGACATTGAATTGGTCGCAACACGACCGTACGACGTCGCAATTTTCGCACGTGTCCAGACAGCTGTCCGGACTTTCAGCGACTTAAAAAAATGTAGCACGCCCTTATGCCAGCACAAGAGGAGGGCATTCAGCGATGCCAAATGCCCAACCCGCTATAATAACCTGAAGAACAATGGAGTTAAGCTGTTGGTGAAAACAATTCATGTTTATAAAAATCACAAAAAGAGCATACATGTCCACGTTGTTCCACAATTAATTGACAACTTTGAGGGGAAGCAACATCTATAGAACATTTCGCTTCATAATAGGGAACTATTGAGCCTGACCTGTTTTAAGTAAAAATGAAGAACTTAATTAATTGCTTCTATAAGCAAAATATAATTATAATGTATGTACTCTATCTTAATGTTTCTAACATAATGTTTCTAATACAAGAGATACAACTCTACGCAACCCTTCCGACGTAAACGTCGAGTCTTGTTTCGACATTGTCAAAGACAGATATGTCATTATCTATCGACTTCTGTGGTACCGCATCAACTCCGCCGCTAACAGCGCGGAAGCCGGCGGGGTATTACCCTCGGAGCAGACTCAACTGATATTACATACTTTGAGGCTGCGCGTGGCAGCACCCCTAGTCCCAGCAGCTCCAGTACCGCCAGTATGAGCACCTCCATGACCAGTGGCTCAAGCACCTCCAGCGCCGACCCCAGGGTCAGCAGCAACACCAACTCCTGTAGGCTCAGCACCCTCAGCTCCAGCTCCAGTAGCACCACGGAGGCTGCGACCGTACCGAGAGTACCACTCACGTTGCTGCTGGGAAGAGAGAGCGCCCCCAAGCACAGCACCCCCAGGCTCAAGACCTCTAGACCCAGCACCCCCAGGCTCAGCACCTGCAGTCTCTGCACCCCCAGGCTCAGCACCCCCGGTCTCCGCACCCCCAGGCTCAGCACCCCTAGTCGCAGTACCTCCAGACCCAGCACCACGAGGCTCAGCACGCTCAGTACCTTGCGCAAGACCAGAGTCGTCAGACACCTGGACAGGCTCGATCGGGTCTACATGGGAAACAACTGAGGGAGCAGGACCTTGGGGAGGCAAGGGGTCTACCAAGGCAGCACCTGGCATGAGGAAGAGCGGCGGAGGGGGGAGCGGGGCAATGCAATAGGGGAAGAGACGATAGAAGGGGACCGACTCGTCAAACGTGACGTCCTGGGAGGACAGAACACGGCGCGAGGTGGGGTGGTAAAACTGCCAACCACGCGCGTCAGGGGGGAAGACGTAGGGAACAGCACGGGGGGACAGCTTGTCCGCAGACAAGACGCGGACAAAAGCTCGAGATCCCTAGACACGAAACGCAGACGCATCGCCAACCTTCCCCGTCCACCGCAGAGCAGGGGAGGTCTCCGGCAAGGAGACACGCGGCTGAAGGTTGATCTAATGCGCCGCGTACTGAACCGCGAACAGCCACAGAAAATGGGGAGCAGCCGCATGGATCATGGACGTACGAGCGACGTCCATGACCATGCCAATGTGGCGCTCAGCAATCCCATTTTGCTATGGAGAGGCTGGAAGCGTGAACGTTTGGCGGGTGACCTGTGCACGACAGAAGGCTCGCAGAAGGTCAGAGGAAAACTCACCGCCTCTATCGGAGTGCAGACGCAGAACAGGAAAGTCCGAGCCGAAACTCTCTCTAAGCTGGAGACGAGCTGCAAGGATCCAGTCGATCAACACCTCAGTGACTTCACCCTTGCTGCGCAAGGGGAAGACCATGGTGTAACGCGAGTAGTCGTCATCCACCAACAGGAGGTAACGCTCGTGATCCTGTCCACGGACGCGGGCGGGGCCCCACACGTCCATGTGAAGCGTCTCGAGTGGAGCCTCTGTTAGAGGAAACTCGGAGGAGCGAGGAGCGGCGTGCTGCCGTCCCTCGACGCAGGGAACGCACGTGGGGGCAGGCCCCGGAGGAAGAGGAGGGAGGGACCGAGGGAGACAAGAGACAAGGAAACGAGAGGCCATGCCTCGGAGACGAGGCAGGGAGGGGTGACCAAGGCGGTGGTGCTAGAGGAGAGTCTCGTGAGACAGGAGACGACACGAACAGGGGGCAGACTCAGGACCAGACCTGGACGCTGCAGCAAACACCTGACCCGACGCAGCTACCTGAGCATACGCAGCAACCAGAGGAGACTCAGTAGTCAATGTGTACAAGCTCGACCCCGGCTGACGGGTAAACGTGGCCAAGTGTCGGCCCGTCCGAGCACACGTACAGTGGGTCACTCGCTGACTCGAAGGAATGAACTGGTCAACCCCTCCATCCTGTAGGTCGGCACCACTCACGAAGTTCGTAGAGAACGAGGGGAGGTAAAGACATGACAGTGTGCCAGAAGGGGCCGCCGGACACGGTAAGACAGTGGAGAAGTGGGCAATGATAGGACCCCCAGAGGGGTCTGCCAAGGAGACTGCAACCGGCTGACTAAGCGGCGTGAGTGTGGTGCGGTCTCGAAAGAAGGAGCAGGAAGCACCCGAGTGAAGGGTGAAGGTGTGCAAAACCTGAGCCGACGTGGTGCCTGAGAGAGCAGACACACTAGCACCTGGGGCAGCAGACTCACCAATACCTGGAGCAGCAGACGCAATGGCTCCTAGAGCAGATGCCTCACCAGCACCTAGAGCAGCAGCCTCAATGCCCGGGTTAGGCGGAACACACAGGGAATAGTCACCCTCATCACTAGTAGGCAATGCATATATGGCAGTGAGGATAGCATCACAGTCAAGAGTATAGATATCCACCCTCTGCCCAAGCAGCTGCACCCAGTCGGGGAGCTCAGCCGCGTCGCCAAACTCCGTACGCGAGGCGTTGCTCAGACGGGCAAAATAATGGGACTCTGTGTGACCGAACGTCCCGCAAGGCTGACCAGTCCGAGCACCAGTGCGAATGACGTACGGACAGCGAGCAGTACCCCGTGACCCTCCACGCTGAGCGTACCAGTCACGAAGGTGCTGGGGCGAAAGGACCGCGCGCGGACGACGCTGCAACTGCACCTGGCCACTACAAGCAGCTCCCGAACTACTCACTCTAGGACGACTCCCACCACGGCCACCCCGACAACCCCAAGTAGCGTACCACTCACGAAGCTGATGGGGCGTGAGGGACTCACGGGGACGTCGCTGGAGCTGCTTCTGGTCACCGTCAGGAGAAGCAGTAGCAGTAGTGGCAGCGCGGTCACCCCTACAACCCCAACTAGCGTACCACTCACGAAGCTGATGGGGGGTGAGGGACTCACGCGGACGGCGCTGGAACTGCATCTGGCCACGCCAGGAGCAGTAGTAGTAGTAGAAAGAGCAGTAGCAGCAAGAGCAGCAGTAACAGCAATAACAACGCTCACCAGTGGCAAGAAGGGCAGGTGGACGATAGCGGCAATGGCGAGGCCGCTACCACCGCAGGGCGAGGGCTCCGGGGCTGCTGGTCCAGGGGCCAGGGGCGGCTGCTCCAGGGGCCAGGGGGCCGAGGCGGGCAGGGGCAGCGGCGGCGGCGGCTGCTGTTGTCGGTGGCGGCGGCCGCTGCTTTCGGCGGTTGGCACGGCAGCGGCGGCGGCGGCTGCTATTGTCGGCGGCGGCGGTTGCTGTTGTCGGCGGCGGCGGCTGCTGTTGTCGGTGGCTGACACGGCAGCGGCAGCGGCGGCTGCTATTGTCGGCGGCGGCGGCTGCTGCTGTCGGCGGCGGCGGCTGCTGCTGTCGGCGGCTAACACGGTAGCCGCGGCGGCGGCTGCTGTTGTCGGCGGCGGCGGCGGCTGCTGTTGTCGCCGGCAGCGGCTGCTGCTGTCGGCGGCTGACACGGCAGCGATGGCGGCGGCTGCTGTTGTCGGTGGCGGCGGCGGCGGCTGCAGGGCCTTGAAGGGGCCGCGAAGGGGCTGCTAAGGGCGGCGAAGGGGCCGATAAGGGGCCGCAAGGGGCCACGAAGGGGCCGCGAAGGGCCACGAAGGGGCTGCGAGGGGCCACGAAGGCGCGGCGACAGGGCCGAGAAGGGGCCGCGAGGGGCCACAACGGGGCTGCGAGGGGCCGCAAGGGGCCGCGAGGGGCCGCGAGGGTGCCGCGAGGGAGCGGCGAAGGGGCCACGAGGGGCCGTGAGAGGGGCCGGTACGGGGCCGTAAGAGGGCGCGACGGGCCGCTAAGGGCAGGAGACGCGACGGGAGGGCAGGCACACGGGGCGCGACTCGGGCAGGGGCGAAGCACGCTCCGCGCAGGAAAAAAAAAAAGATTTTCGGTGGGCCCTAGGAAACGTTCCCACTAGGGAACCTGCTCTATACCATGTGAAAGAAAGAGGAATGAATGCACTAGGAAACAGGTGGGTACAAGTAGGAAAAACCTAAAAGTGTTGTACCCCATATTATCTACCCCACTACAGCCTACACAGACTATGGCATATAAGTTTCACAAAAAAAGACATCCAAACGTTGGCGTAGTGACATGTTGTGCACAGGTCTATCCTCGCACAGATTCGGGCCAGCAAACGCACAAACATACGCCATGAGCTGCGTAGTTGTGCTAACGAGATGAAATCACTTCATATTGCTAGGTAATAGGATGTAGTAGAGAACTGTGTGAAGAAATAGTGGTAAAAAAAGCATCCAGACGTTGGCGTAGTGACATGTTGCGCACAGGCCTATCCTCGCACAGATTCAG